CCCACGCCGGGCACGCCGCACAACAGCCGGGAGGCGGACGCCGAGCTGGACGAGGACGCCGAGCTGGAGTCCCCCCGCGACAACTTCACCGAGGACTCCGGGGAGTGCTCCTCCTACGCCGACCACCCCGTCAAGGTGGAGTGCCCCCCCTTCGCCATCCCCGTGCCGCCGGGCGACGGTGAGTAGCCGCCGGGCTCCCGGTGTCCTCACGCTCCTCCCCCCCTCCCCCGCCTCTCGCAGCCCGACTGCCGGTGCCTCTCTCCGGGTAGCGTGCTCTGCTGCCTTCTGCCTTACCCTCCTCCCTCCCCCTCCCAAATCCCCCCGTGGACCCCCTCCCCTGCACCTTGCTCGTCCCCGAGAGCTTCGCCCCCTCCCTCTCCCCCCGCCGCCAACGCCGCTTGGAAGGGGGGCGGGAAGGAGAACCGGGGTAGGGGGAGCTGCCGGGGGACCGGAGACCGTAGTGAGTTTTGATCGGTGTTTGCCAACGGGAAACCCATGGAAAACTAGCGCAGAGATTATCTAGACAAAAGTGTCAGGTAGCGCTGGGCAAGAAAATAGGCGTCCTTCTCGCCAGAGGATTTTCCCGTTCCCTGCAGACTTGTGTGCAGTTTTGTTAATCGGTATTAAAACGGTGATGACGATAATACCTAAAAAATCTGCTTATTGTTGCAGATGGGCCAGAAAAGCTAGGGGAGAGCTTTTACGTAATTAGTGGTTTGAGTTGTTTCAGAAACGCTAACTTGAGCGGGCTTGCGGACAGAAGCAGCCCTTAGATAAAGCCTCTCCCCTCCTTGCTCCTTCTTCACCCTCAGCTCCCTGTTTGTGTTGTGGAGGTGGGGAGGGCAGCGTTATTTGTTTGTTTTAAATCTAGATTAATGCCGTGGTTTTAATACAAACATGAACCTGTCTTCAGAAGTTGACATCACTGAGGAATCAGCCAATTGGTTGCCGTTTAACCAACCTTCTTTTTACACATAAACCCCATCAAAGAGTTGTTTACACTAATGTTCTTTTGAAATGCAAATGCAGAATGCCAACAGACTGAAACTCAATTTAGATTAATGTAATTACCTGCAATACACAAATGAGGCTATACTATTTAATAGCCTTCACTTAAACCTTTTTAGAAGATCAAAAAGACTCCTATTGTTGAAGTTTAGTACTACAACAATTAAAATATGCGTCTCTTTGATTTTTCGTGTTACCTTTATAACTCTGTAGAAGCTTTGGGTTTTGCTTGGGTACTCTGAATTAAAAATATTTGAAATAATTAAAATTCACATAGAAAAAGGATAACAACTTTATGACACATTAGGTCCACACCTTATAGGGAGATTTTTGGCGCTTTCCTCTTAGAAAATTATTTTTGTTCTGAGAAATAATTGTCTCTCTCCTTGTTTCAGGCTTTAAAGAAATCAATGCTCCAACTATTACCCCACCTCTCAATCAGCCCAAAAGATCAAAAAAGCGCCATGCAAATTTAACGTTGGATAAAATGATGGAAAAATTCCTGCAGCAGAGTGTGGATACAGAGGAGAAGTTTTACAGATACGAAGAGCAGAGGCTCAAAATTGAGGACAAGCGTCGGGAAGCTGAGCATGCTCGGGAGCTCCAGATGTTACAGATGTTGGGACAGATGTTGGCAGGAATTTCTTCTTCGGTATCACAAAGGTCACAATCTATGCCAACGAGTCCACCTCAGAGAGCGAATCATCGTTCATATGGGGATAACTTTAATTATAATGCTATGACAGCAGCACTTTCTCCACCGATAGGTACTTCCTTCTATAGCATAAACAAAAGTTCGGGTTTTTTTAAAAACTTCTGTGTGAAAGCACTGGTAGTAAGTAGCTTTTGAAAATAAAAGCTAGTTGGAATTATTTAACATTGTGGTGAAGGTGTCTTGTCTGATGTAAAATGAAATTAAAACGTCATTCGTACCATTGTACTGATTATTTAATATAGATACTTTAGTTATAACAAATTTTAATGAGTGAAAACACACTTCTCGAAGCCTATAAGCATTTGGGACGACTTTCCACATTTGCGTCTCTGTAAAGTGAAGTTAGGAAAAGTTTTGTATATGAAAGGCTTACCTTTGCTGAAAGCTTTGTGGAAACACTAGATTGTATATGAAAGGCTTACCTTTGCTGAAAGCTTTCTGGAAACACTAGATACCTTGTAGTGGAAATTCTGCTGCTGTTGAAGGTAACAGGCCTAACCCAGTATGTGAAGTTAAGGCTGTGCATATGTTTTTTCAGAGTTGGGAAAAGAGTGGAGTTTTGCCTACACCGAAGTAAGTCAAAGTTAAAATCCACCTTTTTAAAAATAAATTTCTTTAAATCAAAATTCTGAATCCTATCTTCTAATTAAACATCATATTACTGTAGTAGGTGTAGTAGAAGATGAAAATATTGGCACACGTTTTTGTTCTACACTAGTTCATTTATGAATTCTTTGGGGGCTTGAATTTATTTTAAAGAAAACGGCAAAGCAATAACTCTAGAATTGATATTTATGCACAGACTTTTCCTTCCATACCTTATGTGTGGGCCAGAAGGTGATAAATGGGTATTAGCATTCATTAGCAGACTTCTCGGGATCTGTGGCTCCGTGTCATTTATCTTGATGGTAGTCTCTTTGTATGTGAAGGTAGACTGTGTGGGCAGGAAGAAAACAGGGATACTCTTGTCAGTGCTGAAACCAGAGTCAGCTCGGGGCTTGGTGGCTGTAGCCTGCCGTGTGGAAACGAAACAAGTCTTGGTCTGTTTTAACTCTGAATTTCACACTGCTCAGAAGGAAGAAAAAAAAGCAAAAAGCATGGTTTGAAAAGAAAGCAAGCCACCCAGCCTCGGTGTTGAATAATGATCCGGCATGCCAGATCCTAAAGGGCATGCTCTGATTCCTGAGAGGATCTTGGAGCCTTTTCAGTTCTAGGTTACGTGCTGCCTTTCCCTGCACAGCGCATGGGGGACTGGATGGTTAGGCCTGTTGAGGGTTTAGGCTGGTTGACTTAGTTGTGTTTCTTCTTGAGCATTCCTTGATGGCGGCAGACTTTTGTAGATAAATTACGGCGTACGTGTGGATTCTGTGTTTCAGATGCTGTTTTCACTTTTAAATTAAGAAGAAACCTGAAGTGCTTTAGGAAATCCCTTAGGAAATCATTTCAGGTTCTAGGCCGGGGTGATTACTGTTACTTCTGAAAGGTTTTTCACTGAAAGAGTTTCATTATCTCTAAAGATTTGAAACTAAGGTTCAGTTTTTCTTGCTGGATTTCATCATATAGGTGTACAATCATATTACACTGCGCAAGAATTAATTTTGTGTATATATATGTATAAAACTGTAGCAACTCCAGATTCTAATCTTTTAATTGGTAAAAGTGTAAGAAAGCGTTTTTAATAAATAGTGAAAATAACGCTTCAGGCAGCACTTCTTTTAAGGAACTAAGATTTGTTTATAGCTAAATATACCTTAATGTTTCTCTTTTGTGGGGCTCTATTAATTGCTTTTTTGCATAATTATCTGTTTTCTCTCCATTTATTATGCAAGCACTGTATATTTACATATAAACAAAAAACAAAAGACCTTCTTAATGACATTGCACTTTAAGGGTTACAAGCTATATGATAAGTGTGGTTGAAAACCAGTCAGTGTATGAAGTGTGATTTAAAGAAAAAAATCTGCCCTATTTCCAGAGGAGATGAGCATTTTGTTCTCCTCGGGGTCACTTCAATGCTATTTTGGCCATAATCCACAACAGGGTGGGTTGGTTTTTTTTTTTGTTTGTTTGTTTGGTTGTTTATTTTTTTTTAATCTCAATAGGAATGGGATGCCTGTATTATAGAAGGATTTTAAAAGCAAAAGATCAGCCAGGAGTATTTATCATTGTTGAACACTAAAACATTTTATTGCTGAAGATTAGCATGTCTGGTTTAGGTTTAGATTCTGTGGAAGACAGAGAAAAAGATGGATTCTGCTCATAGTGCACAGATGTGGAGTTTTCTTGCTCATTATACTTTTTCCCCATTATTATGTCCTAAATTTCTGGATCAGTTTTTACTTTTTTTTTTTTTTTTCTCCTCTAGATTTGGAGTTGGGGGGTGGAATTACTAAGTTTTATACAGCTGAAAATAAGGAATGTCGTGGGAGTTATTTTTTTCCATAATTATATATTACTATATAGCAGTTCCTTGAAAGCTTTCTAGAGAATCTGTAAAAAAGAAAGTAAGCATAGCTACAGTCTAAAAGACTAATATTAATGTTGAAATAAAGCACTCTTCTGAACAGAATTGTACAGTTACTGAGGAGCTTTGTTGAAATATAAGAACTTATTCTTTTAGTATATTTACTGCAATTTCTAGTTAACGCATTGTTGATAGAGGTACTAATCTTTAGATTTGTCCCGTATTAGGTAAACAGTTTAATTATCTTTAATGGTAATTGTTGAAATACTTTTTTCTTCTAAATTTTGTAGTCTTTTGGAACAGTTATTTGAATATGTAGCCTTCTGAGTGTGCAGGTGTTTTACTATGTGGCTTGACATGTAGCTTTTGCATCAGAGATCTGTAGTTGTGTTATAGCTAAACATATCTTTGTGTGATATTGGTAATGTTTGCATCTAGTGCGTTGGATTATAGTTTTGCAGAAAGGCTTTCATTATGCTTTGTAACCACCTGCCGAAATAAAAAAGCAGTGAGATAGGCCCTGATTCTGCTAAGAGGTGGAAGTTTTTAAGGGGAAGCGAAAAATAAGGTAGGGTGTATGGTTAAAATGTGGGTTTAGTTGCTCTGTGCTGGCTCTGTGTCTCGATGTGTTTAGTCCTTACTAAGTGCACCTACTTTAGTTGAGTTTAATTCTGGAAGTGATTTCAGGCTACACTAAGAAGGTATTTCTAGTTACAAAATGTTCATGTAACTGTTCTGGGCTGTTGCGTCTTTCTGTACCTGAGCCCTAAACTAGGACTGTGAGCAGTCAGTGGGAATATTCTCCGCATCAGACCCTTAATTCCTTTTTAAAATGATCACCTTCCCTAGTTCCTCACTGTTTTAAAGGCCTGTAAATGATGAAGCATTTGGTGTTTAGAAGTATGTCACTTTGTATATCTTCGAGTGATTTTTATTAGTGTTTATGAGTGCTTAAAAGAAATGCTGATGGTAGTTTAAGAAAGAACATACTTTAACGCTTATTTTCTTCTTTTCAGTTATAGAGAGATCTTTTTCACTGCACAGAACACACTCTCTAAAGGACATGGAGAATATTTTTCAACTGGTGCGCAATGTTATCCCTCCTCTAACAGGGAAGAGGCATAAAGGTCAAGATGGACGTATAGGCATTGTTGGAGGATGTCAAGAGTAAGTTAAACGGAAATTTGATTTTTCTTTCTGAGAGAGTTTGAGGCTGTCATAAGTACTCGTAGAAGCCATTCAAACACACCTTACATTTAAAACATGAGTATTTTTCAGAGAGCTTTACTAGCCCATCATCATGACCGTGCATGCTTACGAAAGAACATGTTTCCCTGCAGTTGTGTTGTGAAATTTTGGTACTGAAGGTAGCTGAAACTTAAAACACTGTTTGTGTCTGTGTCTACCTGCTCTGTCTTGTTTGACTACCAAACTCTCTGCTTTCAGCTTTAGTCTTTTCCCATTCCATTATAAATTATAGAGTAAGTAGAATAGAGAAAGGCACATCTGGGGTCTTTTTATATTCGGGTATCTTGGGAACCAGGCTTTTTAAATCAGGAATAGCATATTTTCTTACTGTGCGCTTTTTATTTTGATAAATGGTGGTGTTTACTAGTTTACATGCTACTTGTTTTATGTTCTGTAGTAATAGAAATAACATGTTTCAGGGGAAACAGAGATGCAGCATAAATCAGTTAAATGCTGTACTGACCTAGAAACAAAACAGGCTTTATTCTTTCCTTGGCCATGTTCAGTAATCTGCACAATACTTTGAATGAGCCACTACACCTCCCCGTTTGTCATTTTCCCCTTTCGGAATAGAGATGGCATCTTTCTCTGGTAAAAGAGATCTGCTGCTGGACATCTGCCATTAATAAACATTCTATGAGGAGTGAAAAGGTGTTGGTCTAATGGGCTTAGGTTCTTACCTCTTGGCAGAAGGCGGCATCTCTGGACGGTGATTCTGTCCGTATCTCTCACTTCAGCCTTCATAAAGAGAATTTAGGGCAACTGGAATCACAGTTTAGGCACTTTAATTAGGTATCTAAAACCAGATGCAGTTGATCCAGGTCACAGATCCCAGATTTGGCTTGCAAACAGTGCTTGAGTCTTGTTTTGTTTTGTTTGTCTCTAAACTTTTAAGTTGGTTGTCTGAGAAGACAATCAAAAGAGTTTACTTTTTTACGATATGATCTTATGAAAGGATCAGGTACCTGCGATGAAGTCCTGTACCTTTGAAATAAAAATAAGGTTTGAGATTGGCTTCAGTGTATATAGCAAGATTTTTATCTGTCTTTTACAGCAAATGAGAGAGAAAGCTTTTTTTTTTTTTTTTTTTTAAATTTGCTCTTGAATTTGGGACTTCATTGTAGCAGGCTGATTTTCAGACTATCTAATCTCATGACTGTGTTTCCTAAACTAAATTGTATTTTATTCTAGGTACACTGGAGCACCGTATTTTGCTGCAATTACAGCTCTCAAAGTGGTACGTGTTTTATACTAATCCAAAATGAACTTTTCATCATTTATGTTGGCTAAGTGCCATTTTTTAAAAGCATTCATTCTGTGCTGCACATGGAATTTGAGTTCTAAAAGGTCTTCTGTTTAACAAAAAATCCTTAGTCCTGGATTTGTTGAAATACTTTGTAAATGTGTGTTATTTGCTATGTTTTCTGTAAATATTTTCTCTGTATAAGGTAAAGTAAGACATATGGCAAAAGACTGAAAATTTGAGAGGGAGAACTGGTTTATCAGAGACTTGGATAGGGCATTTCAAAGCTTGATGGAATGTTTTCTCCAAAGTGAGCAATAAAGTAACTTTAAATTAATGTTCAAAGTTATATTTTCAGTGCTGCAGTCAGTTCTTTAGAAATACTTTCTGGACCTGCTAAGTGTGTTGAATGACATAACTTTCTTTCAAAACTTACAGCTTTAGGCTAGTAAGTTTCTTATGTGTGTAAGTTTAAAGATTGTTGGTTGAATTTAATGCAATGTTTAATAGCATGTTTTGTTTAGATTATAATCTGTAGCACAAGTATTTCTAAGCTTTTTTTCCCCTAGGAGTGTGAACTTCCTTATTTTAGTGACATATTAACTGGCTACAAATATATTTACATAAATACAGTGGTGATTATTCAAATGTAAACACATGATGCTTGCATAATACATACAGTTTTCAGTATTTTCTATATAGTGTGTCATTACTTTCAGTTCATTGCGAATGTTTTTCTTTTTGAAGATTTGTTTCAATGAGTAGGTAACCAATCCAGGTATTTCTGCCTCACTCAGGATGCCATACCTTAAGGATTTAAAACTGAAATTATATTATTTAATGATCTTAAATAAGATATTAAGGCTTTCTATTCACTATGTGCAAATGCAGTAGCATACTAGGAGGTCCTCTGTTTAACTCACTCGGTTTCAAATCATTACATCTGCACATGAAGAGTGATAGGATCAAATCTCTGCATTGCTTACTAGCTTGAAATGTTAAATGTATAGTAGTAGAGGAGACACTTAACTGTGGGAAATTTCAGTATGTCAGACAGATACAAGATCAGGCTTTCTGGTCACTGCTCACATCATTTTTATGTGTAAGTTTGATTTTTTTTGAGTTGATAACAGAAGTTTGAGGCTAAACTCCTCAGCTTTAATGTTTCTTTAACTTAAGAGGTGTTGCTGAAATTGTGCCAGCTGTTATCTGATACAGGCTTGGCCCATTGAGTAAAAATGTTAGGACTCCTAGATTGCCATAGTTATATTTTACAGGTATACTACAGTATTATTTTTCCTCTCTAATGTAACTTGTCTCTTGTTCAGCTGTGTTCTTTTGCCTTTTTTCTTATTGCATGTGTGACATGTCTTTGCTCATCTCTAAATAAGAAACATATCTCAAGTGAGTAAAGGTTCAGGATCTGTGTTTTCAGTCATCCTATCAGTGAGAAACAGAAAAAAATGATATTGGAAGTTAGATACAAAAACTTTCTCTAAAACATTGCATGGGAGTCTTAGCCAAATAGAAAAAATATAATAGTTTGCTTTAACTACTGAGAAGTAGGAATTCAGGTGAATTATTCACTGAATGAACTTTGGAATTATAAAGTTATTATTAAGTATCAATTTGATAATTCTGTTTGCAAATTTTCTTTTTTAGGGTGCAGATTTATCCCATGTGTTTTGTACCAAAGATGCAGCAACAGTAATCAAATCATATAGTCCAGAGCTGATTGTTCATCCAGTTCTGTAAGTGACTTATCTTATGTTTAAATGAGCAAGTCAGGATTATTAGTTTGAACATTTCAGTCTGATGGTTGACTAGTTTGCGTTATTTCTTCTTCTGAGTTACAGGATGGGTGAGCTGGAGGTTACAAAACCTCCTGGGTTTGTCCTCTGATTACAAACAGTTAGATATTTAATAAAGAACTATCAGTTGTGAATTTTTTTCATTGCTATCAGTAGTACAATTTTTTTAAAAAGCAAAAATCTTGCTTTCTGCTACTTGCTGACATGTGTTCTGTGATTGTAATGCCTTTAACTGTGAAAGTAGTGAAATCCAGAACAGAGACTCACTGCAAGTCAGCATTTTAGAAACTGCATTTGAAAGACAAATAGAGCATGTTCTCTTGCTTCTTCAGTCCTAATAGTACTTAACTGTCTTGTATCTTTCTCCTGTCACTACTGCATATATAGTCATTTATGCAAAATTACTGGGCAAGGGAGATGCTGATTCTCATTTTTCTTCACAAGTATGTTGCATTAGATATACACCTATTCCCGGGAATAAGTGAATGTTCTAAAATGATCTAAAGCACAGGGTTTATTAACAAGAAGACAAAAAGTTTAATAAGCAACTTCCTAATTGGGAAAATCGGTGTGTGCTTCCCTGAATTTGTGTTCTGAAATATGTTACTGATTGGTGAACTTTTACAGGATAAATTGTTTCATTGAAGTGTTATGATGCTTAATAATGAGCGCTGCAAATGACAATTAAGATGTGTGCCTTAGGTATACGTCCCTGAGGTTAGCTTGCACTAGTGCGTGTCAAAGTCTGTTGGTGTACATAGCACAGCTGTGATTAAGCTAGAAAGAGCATAATTTAAAATGGTGTTTGTCAGATACTGCTGTCAGGAAGGATTTACGACAGTAGAAATATTTCGGTGTCTGAGAAGTAGAATATGATCTCCCTTATGGGTATGCCTGCAGTTGGAAGCCATAAGTTTATTACATTCTAAAGGTGGGTTTCATTCCTGTTGGTATAGAGAGAGGTGCTTAGAAAGAGGTCAGTATATCAAGGGGTTTTGTTGGGTTTGGGGAAATTGTTTTTTTTCAAAGAGAGAAGAAACCCATGACATGGTGCATTTTAGATGAGGAAGAAATGTTAGAAAGCAAGGGGAAGATACAAGGGTAAGGTTTTTACCAGTCCAACTGCATTAGCCTCTAAAATCCAAAAGGCACGTCTTCAGTTGCTGTTCTGTCTGATATCATATGATAACAAATAAGATGGAGAATCTTAATGGCAGTACTAGCTTGTAACTTAAGTTGTCTTGATGGTTGAAACTCGGGATACAGCCTATGGTTGTCTTATATGGAAAGGAGTTGACGTTGCCTTGGGAGAAGCATTTTTCATATATGCAGGGTTCTTGATGTCTGGGGTAATGGAAAAGGTTAATAGGAGAAGCAAAAGCAACAGAGAGAAAAAGGTGACAATGTGTAAATGGTAAAATTTCTGTTCATGGAGGACTGGATTGTGCCTGCTAAATAAGGGTGGGCAGGTTTTTTTTTACAGAGATTCTCAGTGTCTTCTGTGGAATTCAGATCTCAATGAAAACTCTGATCATTCTATCACAAAGAGATCTTTTGATTTTAACCTTCAGCTCCGTCTATAAATTCCCACAGATGTACAAAGTACAGTAACTCTAGAATTTTCATATCCATATAGCTGTAAGTCTGAAACTTAATGCTTAATACTTTTATTACAACTATGATTAATTTCACTCAGCTGGCTAATTGCACGAAGCAACGTATCTGTAAATATTGTCTATATGACATTCAAAATGAAAAAATGCAAATATCAGAATGTTCAGATTTTGTTTGTTAAATTTTCTCATATTTTTATCTCTTCTGCTTCATTTGAGGCAAAGAGAAAACAGTCTTTTCTGGCTAGAAAGGAAAAAAAATCTTGACTGACTCTATTGAGGCCAGGTTTTATTCAGATTTACACAAACAGCCTATTTTTCTCGTCAGATCCTTTGTGTGCAGTGTCAGAGTTTTGGTATGATCCTTTCTATGATGTGGATGTTGGAGTTGGGCAGGCAGGGCCGGCCGCTCTGGATTCACAGCCTGAGCTCTCAGACACTCTTTGTACTTTCTCCCCGGCCGCGCTTCACGCATGGAAGAACCTCCGGGTAAAACCCACCCGGCAGCTACGTCATTGTTCCCTTTTGTCTCTCTCCTTAAAACTTTGCTTTGTTATCATTTCTCCGTGACCCTCCAGAGGAACTAGGTGGCTGTTGCACCACTCTCTTATTATGCTAATGGTAATTATGGCCCCTGTGTACTCCTCGGTTCACTGTGTGAGCGGCTTGGCTTTTCGCCAGGGTTCAGCTGCCATTTTGTACTGCCAGGAGTCTGACATTTTATCATCTCCTCTGCGACTTGGCTGCTGCTACCTTTCCCTACTGCCTGCACCTCGCGGGGGATCACCTCAAGGGAAGAATTTTTTTTTTTTTTTTTTTTTAGTTTGTTTGGGTTTTGTTTTGTTTTGCTGCTGCTCCCTGAATGGCGAGGGCTCTTCTGGCTCGTTAGAGCTGCTGTCACAGATCTTTGACGGCCCAACTAGCGAAGGTATGCCAGAGCTAGAAGTTGCACCACTGCATTTCAGGTCCTTGGCAAATGTCTGTCACTTCAAGGATGCGAGGAATGTTACGTGAGAAAGATTGAGTAGGACTGCAGAAGGAGGGTTATGGAAGCGGACATCCATCTGGCAGCACGGCCAGAGCACTTCCACGTGGCCCCAGCTGCAGACCATCCTGGAATTCCTTTGGGTGTAGCATCCTGTGCTGGGGACACCCGTAATGCAACTTGCCCTGTGCTTTTTCTCTCATGACTTCATTCCCTGCTCCTGTGAGGGAAGGTAAGAGAGCTGGGACCTCACATGGCAGCCTGAGATCTAAGACACAGCTCCACACGTCCAGAGCTGAGTAATGGTAGCTGGGTGTCTAGGGGTCATGTAGAGTCAATGTTATCAAGAGTAGTGTTCTCCTTTTTATTCAGGGATTCTGTCAAATGCATTATGGCCCCTTCCATGACAACTTGGTATTAATGAAACGATTAAAAACTGATCAGCTGGCCAGTTCAGTATTTTTGACTTTTTGAATAGCGGAGTGTACCGAGTCTTGATCACAACTGCATTGCTGTTGTCACTGTTACCCCTGAGTTTGTGCTACGTTTCTGTTTCCTCAGCTAACATGCTCCTACTGTAAACTCTACACAAATATAAACAAGATCAAACTTAACTTTTGCATTTTATTAAGTTTTATTGCAGGTGTTTTCTGTGTGGATTTCTACTGTAGATGCGTGCGTGCTTTGTTGCATTAACTTTCTAGAGAACAGTTTTCAGGAGCTTTTTTATATTCCCCATGTTAATTCCCTGGCTCAGGTCAGATTGAGTAGATTTCTTGGATACCTGTGTTGGGTTAACTTACCCTGTCCTGATAGGCGAGGGATCACAGTTAAAGGAGCTATATGAACGCAGCTAGTTATATTTCAAAAGAAGGGAGAATAAATCTATTGTTTTAGATCCTCCTCTTGCAAGGACCTTTTCATAATCTTACAGAGTTGTTCTTTCTCTGTAGGCCAGGAAAGATCGAGGAGCCCACTGAGCCTACTGAGGAGCCCACTTGTAACCTGGTTCTCAGGCAATTTGTAAAGTCAACAGATGATGCACTCCTTGATCTCCAGAGTTTTATCGGAGAAGTGGAATGAGATGTCAGGTCTTTAACTTCTTTTGGTCCTGAAAAAGTCACATAATTTTTCCATTAGCTCCGAAAAAAGTCACCCTTGAACTAGCTATGGATTTAGAATTAATACCTTCCTCCCAGCTTGCTGTATCTATGAGTCTGTACGGACTAAGAAAGATTGCCAGAATTACTGAAAGTCGGACTAAGAAAGATTGCCAGAATTACTGAAAATCTTAATAGTTAATTGTAGAGTTCAAGTTTTAGTTTAGATTTTGAAAAAGATTATTCTTTTCAGTTTGAAATAAAAATAATTGGGGAGAAAACTCTCATGAGGCTTACCTTTGTGTTGAGGCCAGTTACCATTAATGAAGAAGCTTAGCTTAGATCAGGGTTGCTGGAAGATATTTTGCCTAGTTTTATTGGATTTTTTTCTATGTTTTGATGATTTGAAAAAGTCATGAAAGTGAATCATGGGTAGTGAGCTCCTGATAAGTTATTTGAGCACTTTTAACCGGTGCCAAGTCTCTTAAAGAAAGCCTAGGAACGATCTTAAGATTTTGGACCCTTTCTAATTCCTTATGTGGAGAGGAGATTCAAAAACATTTGTCCTTTGTGGGAGGAAGCTCACACCTTGTGTTAGCTAAGGATAACTATTAAATACTTCTGTGAAATGTGGGACTAACCTCTTTTGAATCAGCTACTGGAAGAAGTGCAAGAATTCTTGTCACCAGGGAAAGTCAAGGAGAAAGCACAGATGGCTCTGATTACCAAAATGATGCTTCCTAAGCGACTTGGCTGCTGGATCCCTATTATACCTGCAGAGAAGACGCAGGCATAAACTTTGTGATCGTTCTCCCAAACCTCATTTAGACAGCAGCCTAGCTAGGAGTTGTATAAGAAAATTTTTTGGGTTTTTTTTTTCCAAACCTCATTTAGACAGCAGCCTAGCTAGGAATTGTATAAGAAAATTTTTTGTTGTTTTTTTTTCCTAAGTACTTAAGGAGAGATAAAGGTCAGTTTGTATGTGCCGACTCAGAGAAGTATACTGAAACTGTTTCTAATCCTGTCGTGCAGTGCCACGGACAAAACCTTTATGGACCTGTTTCTTGTGTTCAGCTTTCTCAGCAGTAAGTTGCTGCTTCATTGCTGTATGCTGCAGAGTGAGTAAAAGATGGGAGGTGTATTCACCCCCTACTATAGTCCCTTTCCTCCATGTTGTTGCAGAGGTCCTTACCCCAGGTGATACTAAGAGAGGTTTTGCCACCTCCTTAAAATGCGAGGGGT